GTATCACAGACTGTAAATTTTCAGCCATGCCGTGTTGAACCCTTCACAACTCAGTACCATTGCTCTCCGCAAATTTAATGTTTCGTTGAAAGAGTCTTAAGCACCACACACTCATTCATCTAGCGTGATTACAGTAGCAAAAGTTGTACATTGCTAAGGTGCGTTCTTAAACGCGAAGTAGGCGAAGATTATTTCTGCCATGTTGCTTTTGATATTAGCAGTAATGTTTGTTTGAAATCATGTTTTATTTTCTGTTATAATAAGTCCGTGTCATCCAAGATGAAAATTGTTCATTACATTTTAACCCAAAAGGCACTAAAGTATAGGACCCCTGTAGTAGATAAAACCCCTACAGTAGTAGAATCCCCAGCTTAGTGTCTACACCTATGTTTATAACATGGTTAGGGTTGTATAGGATGTACTGTACTCTGTGAGCTTATTTAGGCATCACGGAACTTGGCCGGTGGTGACCGAGCGATGTAATGGCCCCTGTCTCATTAACAGAAGTATTATATAAATGGGCTATTTACATCTGATTTATATTCAGATTCACCCCCTGTAACTTTCCACTGGCTATGAAGTGACATGTTCAATGCACGTGATAAGGTGTGCCCATGGGAAGCTGCGTCATACTATGCTGAGCAAAGGCATAAGTAACCAGCTCCTGGCCACCTAAAGCGGGCAGTAGTTTGATATCCTTGACTAGAGGAAGAAGTTTATTTGAAAGCCGCAGTGGATGGCTCCGTCTTCCCTTAGAGGGAGAACAAGGTACCAATTCCGTTCTCCCTCAATGGGTCACTATTCAGAGTCTCACTCACTATATAATATCGAACGGACGTTGATTCACGTCTACTGTATTTACATAGACGCCGTCCCTTTCTCATCACACTCATAAATAGTGGAACTTACGGTTGATCTACACTCAGGACTTATATACATAATACTTTTCTAATAAACAAGAAATTTCAATTGGGTTTCGTTACTAAAGCCCAATATAATATATGTGAACCAACCTGGTTATTTGGGAATTAACCAACCGGTTCAGGTGTGTACTGGCACCAACTCTCTTTTCCATTTTCTTGGCTGCCTTCCTTACTGCATCCAGTGCCAATTTAGCCGGTGGTGGACATTGAGTACCGGATGAAAGATCTTTCAAATAAAGGCAACTCCATGCAGGAGCAAAGGTGTCGGCAGTTTCCATTACTGAACTTCAGTATGCAGACGACCTAACCCTTGTCACTCACACTGAACGCAACCTACAGGAGATTCTGAACACCTACGCAGATGCGTATGCACACTTCGGCCTTGAGATGAGTGTATATAAGACTCAGATTCTCTTTCAGCCTGTCCCTGGTTCAGCCAAGCCTACACCATCCATCCGTAACTACCCTCTCTAATGTTACCCACTTTCGGTATCTCGGCTACCATCTGTCTACCAATGCGGACATCGATGAAGAGATTCAACATTGGATCAGATGTGCATTTCAAGCCTTTGGCAGACTCTGTACCTGTGTTTTCAGCTGTAGGGAGCTGAAATTATCTACAAAGTTGCACGCACATCGAGCAGTAGTCCTCCCCACCCTGCTTTATGGCAGTGAGATATGGGACACATACAGGAGGCACCTTAAGGCACTTGAAACTTTCACCAACGTAGTTCACGTTCCAACCTCTGAGTTCACTGGGAAGACAAGACAACAAATGCCAGTATTCTCGTGACACCAACTGTAGGAGCATTGAGGCTACCATTATCCGTGAACAACTATGCTGGACTGGCCATGTTACCCGCATGGACGATAGGAGACTGCCAAAGCAGCTACTTTACAGTCACTTAACGAATAGCAAATGTAACGCCGTGGGCAACTGAAAAGGTATAAGGATAGTCTTAAGAAAACCCAGTGCCAAATCGACCGTCTCACCTGGGAGATGATATTCACAATCGTAGCGCTAAAAGGACCACACATGGTGTTAATACTTTCGAGTTAGCCCAACTTCATACTGAGGCAGACAGGCGCCAACGCCGGAAAGATGCTGCTGCCGCCCATCCCGCACTAGATGTAGCCCTCCACATGTGCAAAATCTGTGAACGACCCTGCAGGTCCTGTATCGGCCATTTTAGTCACCTCAGAATTCACCAATGCAGGTGACATCCTTAATAAGTCATATCATTGTATCATAGCTGGCTGATCGTTATACTCGTTTCTGATTGACGGCAAAGTAGTAGTAGTAGTAGTAGTAGTAGCTATCAGTGTCAAGTTCATTCCCAAACTAGTGAAACACCCTGACTTAACCCCAGCAGAAAGAACACTTCTTGCACTTCCACCAAGACTGGGAGGGATGGGACTAACTAATCCAGAGGAGATTGCTGACACTGAACATCAAAATTCACTTAAGCTCACGGCAGCCCTCACTGACTACATAATAGCCCAGAATGCAACAGGACACCAAGTAAATAAGATCCGTGGGTCCATTACAACAGATCGGCAGCACTGCCAAATGACATGTTGCAACAACTATTGCTGCAGGTTCCAGAAAATTTGACAAAAAAAGTAGCTATAGCGCAGGAGGTGGGCGCCGAACTGGTTAACTACGTACCGATAAGGGAATGGTTTCAGCCTTAACAAACAAGGATTTACAGATGCCATTGCTCTAAGGTACGGTTGGCCAGTAGATGGTTTGCCCTCCCAATGCGTGTGTGGCTCTTCCTATGATGGCGATCACGCCATGGTCTGCAAGAAGGAGGCTTCATATGCATGAGGCATGACGAGGTAAGGGATCTCACAGCAAATATGTTGGAGGAAATCTGCCGGGACGTCATGGTAGAACCGACCCTCCTTCCACTGGATGGCGAGATCTTCCAACACAGGACTTCAAACACATTTAACGAAGCCCGGTGGACGTCAGTGTCGAGGATTCTGGACGCGGGACAGCGAGCTTTCTTCACATCAGGATTTTGATCCCATGGCGCTTGTCACCGTAAACTAGCCTCGATGCTGCACATAGGAGGAACGAGAACGACAAGAGAAGGGCATATGGGGAGAGAATTCAAAATGTTGATCAAGGCAGTCACCCTCTAGTGTTCACAACCTCTGTGGGATGGGCCCAAGTGCAAGATGTTTCTACGCCAGACTCATGGAGTTGATCTCCAACAGAAGCAGCAGCCCGAAGTTATGTTACAGCCTGGATGAGATGTCGACTGTCCTTCTCTCCTTCGGTCGGCTTTGCTCTGCCTCAGGGAACGAGAGCTTCTGCCCCTACTCCGACAACTGCTGCAGATATTGACTATGAGGCTACAGTCACTGAATTCCCGCATAGATCTGCGGCTCAACTAATTTAACACAGATAGGATAGCTTCTATGTATTAGGATATTTAATATTAAGGTAAATAAATGGTGGCGAAGGTGTGGCTATTGGGGAGGCTGGAGGCCATTTAAAAAGTAGTAGTAGTAGTAGTAGTAGTAGTAGTGTGTGTGTGTGTGTGTGTGTGTGTGTGTGTGTGTGTGTGTGTGTGTGTGTGTGTGTGTGTGTGTGTGTGTGTGTGTGTGTGTGTGTGTGTGTGCTATTTTATGTTTTCTTCATTCAACATTTTCAGATTATCTAAAGAGTTGAGGAAACACGATTTCACACAATAGAGGATACGAACTCTGTATTTGATAACCAGCTAGCCAAGATGTTGTGCTACTCATGTAAGAAAAGATAGATAGATAGATAAATAGTTAGATATATAGATAGATAGATAGATAAATAGATAAATAGTTAGATAGATAGATAGATAGATGGATAGATAGATAGATACTGTATTATTATTATTATTATTATTATTAATCTCTCTCTCTCTCTCTCTCTCTCAGTTGTGAGTGACTTGGATACCCTGAGGGAGGTAGAGGAGGCCCTCAAACACGCCCATTCCTCAGTCGAGTCCCTCAAATCACTCATTGATGAGTTCGTGACCACCACTACAACCACCCCGTCAACTACTCGCCCAACAAAAACCCCAACAACAGAAATGACAACAAAACCCAACAAAAACAACAAAACCCCAACAACAAAACAACAAAAACCCCAACAACAAAAACAACAAACAAAAACAACAACAACAAAACCCCCAACAACAAAAACAACAACAAAGCCCCAACAACAAAAACAACAACAACAAAACCCCAACAACAAAAACAACAACAACAAAACCCCCAACAACAAAACAACAACAAAAAAACAACAACAACAAAGCCCCAACAACAAAAACAACAACAAAACCCACAACAACAAAAACAATGACGAAATAGGATACGACGGCCCAGACAGACAATGAGATACGACAACCAAGAAGACTGACGAGCAGCCAAGAGACCGACGAATAGGATACGACGATAGGGAGACCAGTGACAAAGGATACTGACCAATAGGGACCAGACGAGCCAATGGGATGCAGAGCCCGAATGGGAGACAAATGGAGCCAACAAGGATTCTGACCCGATAGGGACAAAATGACGTGGACAATGGGAATGAGATAGGATATGACGATAGAGACAATGACGTGGATTGACCAGTAAGGACAGAGCCAGAATGGGAACAACAGACGATGGGATGCGTGACCCCAGGGAATGACAACAAGAATGGATGCTGACAGATAGGGAACGACGAATAGGGAGACCAGAAATGACCGATAGGATACTGACTGACCAGAATGAGCAACAATAGGATACTGACACAATGGGGGCCAACGACTGATAGAACGATGGAATACAACAACAAAACCCCCAACAACAAAACAACAACAAAAAACAACAACAACAAAACCCCCAACAACAAAACAACAACAAAACCCCCAACAACAAAACAACAACAACAAAACCCCCAACAACAAAAACAACAACAACAAAACCCCCAACAACAAAAACAACAACAACAAAACCCCCAACAACAAAAACAACAACAACAAAACCCCCAACAACAAAAACAACAACAACAAAACCCCCAACAACAAAAACAACAACAACAAAACCCCCAACAACAAAACCCCCAACAACAGAAACAACAACACAAACCCCAACAACAGAAACGACAACAACAAAAACTGCTTCAGATATGTCCTTACCTAAAGCATACAAGATCATCCCCCATGTAGGAGTAGGAGCTCTGATGGGGGGATACCGTGGCTCCAGGCAGCTCCTACGTGTCTACATGTTTGCACAAAGACCTCGGAAGGGAAGATTGGCCAACATGCCGCCGCTGCTCTTATCAAAATTAAAACAAGTTGCAGAGCTGAGGCAAGAGACGAGACTATCAGACAGGAAGGAAGAAAGAGGGGTAGACAATAGTGATAATGAGGGAGATTTGAGAAATAAAACAACTACAGACGACGTAACAAGCAGTACCAACCATGTAATGAGCAGTACCAACCATGTAACGAGCAGTACCAACCGTGTGACGAGCAGTACCAACCGTGTAACGAGCAGTACCAACCGTGTAACGAGCAGTACCAACCATGTAACGAGCAGTACCAACCATGTAACGAGCAGTACCAACCTGCCCACAATCTCCCCTGAAACATGGTGGACACTGGTAAACGATAACTTAGAGAAAATAGCTCAGCTGACGAAGGATATCTCCAGTGGAATAATGGATCACAGCCACGCCCTCGAGGTGAACCGGAGGGCTGATGACCTTGATACCCTGGTGGAGGAAGGACAAAATAACCCCACGCTGGCACAGGACATCCCAGACGAAGAACTTGGCCTGGTTGGGTCTGTGTTCAGTAGTCTGACCAATGCCACAAAATATGTTGATGACGAGATACAGAAAGAGGAGGTAACTATATGCGGTGTGTGTGGGTGTGTGTGTGTGTGTGTGTGTTTTATTATGTATGTATGTATGTATGTATGATTGTTTATGTACTGTATGTATGTGAATGATTTTGACTATGTATGTATGTATGTATGTGTATGGCTGTGTATATATGATTGTCTATGTATGTATATGTGCATGGTTGCCTCTATTTATTCATGTATGTGTGTATATGTATGATTTTCATGAGGTGTATATGATTGTCTATGTACTGTATCTATGTGTATGATTTTGACTATATATGTATGTATGTATGTACTGCATGTATGATTGTGACCCGACTAGCAATCTCCTCAGAAGTAAAATCAACCTCACAAGGTATCGCAGAGTACACCCACAAAAATCAGAGTATAGTACCTTCCAAATACCGCCAGAGTACCCTAAATGAACCCTAGAGTACCCCAAAGAGCACCTTAAGGATTCCCCGAGTACCTAAAAGTACCCCCAGTCCGCCATTGTTGTTTTAATGTATCTATCTCTCTTTCTTTCCTTGATCTCTCACAGGCAGACCAGACAGAGATGATCGCCACCATCGTGTGTATGTCAGTACTCTTCTCGGTGGTGTTAGTGATGCTCATCGTGTCTCTGCTGAAGCCAAGCTCTGCTAAGTGTGGCTGTCCCAAAACAAGCCCGAACACTAAGTAAATACAGTATATCTATTGGGTTTATGCATCACTACAACACTATTATCTACTTCATGTTCACCACACCACTAGTACTATATGTTAACCTACTACACTAGTTCTACATGTTCATTACAATAGTACTACATAGTACTCAGGGGGTTAATTCATCATACTCAAGGGATTAAGTCATCGTACTCAAGGAGTTAAGGAATTTCACTGGGTTAGTGCATTGTATTTAAGGGGTTAAATCATGTTACTCAAGAGAGGTTGAGTCATCATGCACAACCTTTTTAGGTATCGTACTCAAGGGTTTAGGTCATCAAACTCAAGGGATAAAGTCATCCTACTCAATGGGTTAAATCATTGCACTTAGGGGGTTTTAGTGGGGCAGCTAAATACAATTTTTCAAGAGAATCATGCAAATGGTGATACAAGCACCAAATTTGGCATGGTAATTCTCTAATGGTTACTAGTCAAGTCTGCCTGATTGGCCATTTAAAAATCCAAGATGGCGGCCATTTTTTCAAGATGGCCGCCACATTGACCTTAAAAAAGATAATTTTTCTTATAGAAATTGATGCAGTTGGTCAATCTGAGTGATCTTGGTGTCGGTATGTATGTTTTCAAGCATGCTCAGGCGATTTTTTTTAATAGTTTAAGTCCATTGTAACATTTTTATCCACATAAAATAACACTTTTAGTAAAAAATATAACAAAAAAGGACTTACTAAAAAAAAAGTACTGTACTCACTATTAGCACTGGTTCCTGTGACTTCTCATGACAGTACATTTTTGTGCATTTACTGCTGTTCACATATGCAGCTGCAAAGTGCTGTGCAGGAAAGTCCAGAGCAAAAGCATTTGCATCTCTGGTTACCTTTCAGACTCATCAGAGCAATAGTCCTGGTATGCCTCCTTCATCAGTTTGTACAAGCTGCATGCTGTAACTTGATGTGCTAGTCTTGTCTTGGTTACACTTGATACAGACAAAAAAGATTCTGCTGTACCAGATGAAGCCACTCCTGCTTCAACAAGGGAACCGGTCCAACCACTGTCTTGTAGAAGCATTCCTAGTGATCTCAGTGCAGCCATCTCTATGTGAAGTCCCCCGAACATAATAACATACTTGTCTTCTCCATACTCAGGCCAATGCCATTGGATTTGTTTTGCCAGGGTATACAGTGGCTGGTCAGCAGCTATGACTGGGATCTGACCTGGGTTCAGAAAAGCCACAGTATCACGAACCTTTTCCATAACATGCTTGATGGTTGCCACAGTGTGTGCCTGATCTCGAAGCAGGGGAAGCAGAGACGTAATGCTCACTTCAAATGGCTGACTCCTCTTCTGTGCTGCACGGTGAGCTGCCCACATGATGCAGACTTCATCAGCCACATTCTCAGTGAGAAAGACCTCTTCCAGCCAAGCATACTCTTCCTGCAGGTGTGACTGGATTGACTCAGGTGCTGGCAATGACTGAGGTGCTACCAAGGGAGGATTGGGATTCTTCATAATATAAGCTGGTCGGACATTGGTGAATGCCTCTGGAAGCTCAGGAACTTTCTTGGCCATCGTGTCTGCATTCCGTCTGAGTGGCTCACACTCCTCACCAGCCTGCTCAGGGCTGGAAGATGGACACACTGGTCCCATGGAAGGACATTTTGGCTGTAGTGGCAGTGGGGTTGTGGTCAATGTTGTCCACTGCTGAAATCATGAACAACTGCTTCTTCAAGATTGGTGGACACACCACTCCATCTTCCATGTACTGGCATACAACCGCTTCTCCTAGCTGGGCTGATAATTGTAGAACTTTGTCATATGAAATGCTGACCCCATTTTCATGCAGCATGTCGATGAGCTGCCTCTTTCTTGTCATAGCAAACACAGACATGCCGAGTAGATAGCAAAAGGTGTCTCATGGTCCTTGGAGTGTCTGTGGATAAGTGTTCCTACCTTGTAGTTGGCAGTTGTACTGTAAGAGCTGTGACATAGCAAGGTCAGACTTCGATGCACCATGCTGGAGTTGGGATTTGATATCTGCACCATGTTCGATCATGCATACAAATTGAAGCAGTGATGGTGGAACAACCTGTTCAATGCATCCTTCATGAAATGTACTGTTGAAGTGTGACTTGTGCTGAAGCATGTCCCGTCGTATCATCCCAGCAGCCTTGGCCAGATGGATCGCATCACCGTATTTGCTTGCTTGTGCCAGGATTGAGCCAACATCCTTCTCAAAGGCCAGCAGAATATCTCTTCCGTGGTGATGAGCTTGCAGCTGGGGGATGTGAAAAAGCAGTTGGTCCTTCAGTCGAGTAGCATGAACATTGGGCGATCCAACACCCAGCTGCTCAAGTCCCTGTCTGTAGTGTGTGACCAGGTCAGCAAGTCTGAAAATGGGTGGTTCAGTACCTTCACTAGAAGCTTTCATCTGAGTGATGTAAGTGACCAGTTCAGAGAAAGCAGTTGGGTATGCGTCCTTGTTCGGATGAACTTCTTATGCTTCTTCTTGCTCATGAGCATTTCGTCGTGTTCTCTCTTGGTTGTACAGGTCTGCCAGGCAGCGAGGGTGATACATCAGTTCTTGTGCCACAACATCTCCTGCACTAGTTTGGCAAGGAGTTTTCCATCGCTAAGTGTCTTCGCACACTCATTCAATCTTTTGTTAAGTTTCATTGTCATTGCATGTCTTATGTCATCTCCCGAAGCTTCTTCCTCGCATAAAAAGCATTCTGTTGCTTTGGGGTCTCTGACCATTTGTGGTATCTTGCTACTGCTGCTCTCCTCTGTAGCAACTGCAGAGGTTCGCCTTTTCTGAGCTCTATTTAACTTTGTGTTGTTGAACAGAAGTCTGCAACTCATGATACTGTACCTTGTTTCTCCTCTATCCCATCATCTTCAACAAGTCTTGCAGGGTCTAGCTTGATTGGCAGTGCATTGATTGAAAGAAATAGAGGAATATTCCTTGCCAAGCTCTTGTAACCGTCATCTCCTTTTTTGGCAGGATTTGCATGTGGAGACTTAAGATCTTCCTTCTTATCCTGTTGACAAAGACAACACCCTGATGAGCAATTTCTTGTATGGGATACAACTAGGTTCATGCCTTTTGCCCTACACCTAGTCCAATCGTTCATCCACTGTCATTAGTCCCGTGCGATCTGTACCCCATCCAGATAACTAAAACCCTGTTATCCTTGGCTCGGCTCTCCCACGCTGGCACATCCTGTCAATTCAGGTGCGGCTGCTTAACTGATTTGGGGTTGGTTAAGCAGCATTTGGGACACTAAGCTGTTGCAGTATGACATGCTTTTTCTTAGCTGACACTGAACCCCATGCTGGGTTGCACAGCAGTGATGTCACCAGTGTGCCCTGGTAGTGCCCAACAATCACTCCCTCACATGCAGAGACCCACTGCATGCTACCCTCACCAGTACATAAAACCCGTCATAAGACAAATATATATCTGAGAGTATCAGAAACAGAAAAGATCATCTGAGCATGCTTGAAAACATATATATCGACACTAAGATCATTTAGATTGACCAACTACATCAATTTCTATAAAAAAAAAATTATCTTTCGAAGGTCAATTTGGCAGCCATCTTGGACTTCCAAATGGCCAATGAGGCAGATTTGACAAGTTGCCCCTAGGGTATGTTCATGCCAAATTTCATGCTTGTATCACCATTTGCACGATTTTTTTATTATCCGCTCTACTATTTAGAGGATGTTGACCTTCATTCTACTAACTATAGTTTGTATCGTCTTCCAGAGGTGAGGGTCAGAATCAGTCAGTCGCCGAGGAGTCCACCTTCCCTGACTCCGCCTTCGTCCAACACAGCCACATATACTACGACCCCTACAGAAGCCATACTACAGCTGTCTAGAACCATTACCATGGCTGCCTAGTACCACAACAGCGGTCTGGTACCACCACAACTGTCTAGAACCACCATGGGTGTCTAGTAGCACCACAGGTGCCTACCACCTAACCTACCCATACCAAACAACATATACCTGCACCATCTGTACTATATATACCATCTGCAGTACACAAGCCTAGTACCACTCACAGCCATCATGATCTACTGTAACGACGGTTCACTCTCTACATTTTTGTTTATAAATAAATATTCTGCAGTTTTGATGATTTTCAGTAATGATTTCACGCTCACATCAGCTGGTAATGTTAATTTGTTTCTGTTGATTGAATGTCTTCTATATTTCATATTTTACAATAAAAAATACCCAAGTAAAAAAAATAAGTAGTTCAATTACGTTTTTTTTTGTAATATTAAGTACCAAGTTTATAAACATTTTATGAAAAGATATATTTGTCTGGTGTGAACTTCACTCAGATGGTAGTTTAGATGTATATAGTGATTGTGTTGATTATAGTTTACTTACTAATACAGTGGGGTATGCTATAACGAACGGATCCTACTACGAATATTCCTATAACGAACGGTTTTACCTATAAAATTGAGAATGCTATAACGAACGAAACTCCTACAACGAACATTATTTTAAAAAAAAATTTTTTTTTTTTTTACTAATTTATTGTTTTTTTATTATAAGTATTAATGATATTGGTTATTTCAGGGGTTTAGATGCATATTTATGCACTTTTTTACAATTTTTACAATTTTATATTATATTTTTCAGTGTTAAGTGGTTGTATTTGGTGGCCTGGAACGCACTAAGCTAGCTAGGGGGGGGGCGGTCCGCCCCGGGCGGCACTTTTGGGTCTGCTCATCACCCATATCTGCAGCTACTGGAGACGTTAATCCATCCCTTCGTATCGGCGGCAAGTTAATCCTTGTCGTGTCTGACCTAACACCTGACCCACATCATCAAGGCCACGTCATGAGCTACACCCTTGCTATGCCCCCCGCCACACACACAACCTGTAACCTGTTGAGGATTAAGGAAACTTATAAAGTTTAAGTATGTTTGGTGTGTATTTAAAGCATACTATATTTGAGTATGTGAAAGTACAGTAATATTATAATGGTACACAAACTATTTTATATATATATATATATATATATATATATATATATATATATATATATATATATATATATATATATATATATATATATATATATATATATATATTTAAGAGTGAGTCACTGTGCAATATGTATTTTTTTGTTTGTGGGGGCACGGGGGGGGCAAACTCAAGGGCCGCCCCGGGCGGCACACACTCTAGCTACACCACTGCTGGAACGGATTAATCCTATAACGAACGAATGCTATAACGAACAAGGTTCTAGAACCAATTAGATTCGTTATAGCATACCCCACTGTATTACTAAAGTATACGCTGGTAGCAGTAGATAATATAGTACAGTAACTACATGAATAGGGCCTGAGTATCACTACTTCATCATCTGTTTACCGCAACTTTTACTTTTATCCTCTTTACCACTAATCGGCTTGTTAGCCGCTTGGACAATCGGTCACGTCTCTGTTACGCACTGTTGGCAAGTACTGGACATGCACCGGCTCCTGAATGTACCTGAACCTGCTCCAGTGTTGGTCAAGTCTGGTCTTGAAATTAATGTCTTCACGATGGATTCTATATAGAGGGTCTTCTGCAGAGAAATCCGAGCAAATCGAAAGTTAGGTTGATTACAAAGTGAGTCACCGCAAATATGAACTCTTGCTCGCTGATCCAAAATGTCACTACAGCCAGCAGTAACAACTGGCATACTGGACCCCTGAGGCTAGGCTATAATTATCATTTTGTCAGTTCGTAAATTCATTTTATCATTTACATATGTTTTACAAACTTAAATTAAACCTTGCAGAGGGCGACACGCTACTTTTGTGAAGTCACACCATGGTGTTTTTTTTTATTCAACGTGTTTCTAAAAGTAGATAGAAAAAAGTGATGCTGCAAGAACGGAGGGTACAGTTAGGTGTGGGTCGGGTCATATTGCATCTCTGTAACAAAGCGTGTTCAGCATTCGGGCCTTTGTTGTTGAGGGGCAGAAATCGGACAGTGATTATATAAAATCATCAAGATCATCTTAGTGATGTGAAAGTGTAAATCGATGAAGGATTTTTAATGCTAAACGCGATTATATTTTTTAAAATGCAATCACCACCGAGTTGGAGATACAGCCCAGGTCAAGAAGCCTACAACCACAAAATCATTGCCATATGACAAAGCTTTTATTTTATTTTTTTACGGAGTTGTGGTCACGGCTGTGATAAAGGCCAACCCGGGAGTGAAGTACTGTGCCTTTAGTTAAATCAGTTCATAGTATATTCAGTGACTGTGGAAGAGGTTATAAATAACTTAAAGTGAATACAAATTGGCAAGCAAGCTGGAAAGGCACCACTGCCAGCTGAAACCAAGTCGTGTCATAGGTGCCACAGAGACATTAAATTTTATTTTGTTTGTGTGCTTTCTCAAGGACTGAAACTGTGCCTACAATACACCATTCACAGGGAGATACAGTGTACACAGTGATAGCACAATGAGATATAGTCGTCGGTGAGAACGGTAAAAGAAAGTATAAGGAAATACTAGTTGAAATAAAAAATAAATAAAATCAACAAGCTTGGCTATCCATAAAGGCATTCTATTACCGGCCCTAAGAAAGTTTTATTTTATTTTTCTGTGCTTCTAAAGGACTGAGTGGGTGTATAAAATCCGTTATTCATAGCAAAATGCAGTGTACACAGAGATAGCACATAAATACCGACAAATGCCGGAGTGAACTGAAAAGGAAACAGAAGACAACTCTAAAGGCAACAGGGGAGGTTAAAACCAGCAGAGGTGTAGACCTATACACAGTCTGCACCCCCCACAACAATAACAACCATGAGTATGATATGTGATTACAGCAGGGAGACGTCGGTATGGAGGATACAAGCCTGACTAATCTCCAAACTGTGGCCCACTAAATCAAAGGAACTTAAGAGCCTTAATAGACAACACAGCGATGCTCAACCTTAGCCACCTCCTTATCATGGGGGACTTTAACTATGGTGACATCGACAGGAGAAACGAGTTCATCCTAAATGACTTGAATAACCCTGCTACTCTTTTTGTAGAAACTCTGAGAGATAATTTTCGGTTCCAATATGTAAGAGACCCGATACATTACAGAGAGGAGCAAACACCCAAGCTACTAGACCTCATCATAACAAACGAGGAGGGTATGGTGGCCAAACTGGAACACCTTGCCCCAGTTGGCACCAGTCATTCAGATTTAACAGTTACCTAGTTCAAGATAAGGCCAGGCCAAGGTACAAATATTACAAAGGAAATTACAATGGGATGAGGGAAGAGATGACGGGTATCCACTGGCCTGACTCATTAACGCACAAGAACGCAGAAACTACGCTGAATATCCTACCTACTAAAGTGACCCATTTGATCAATAAGTATATACCAAAGGCCAAACCCAGTGCCTCTAGGAATACGAGGGAATCCCTACACATGAACCATGCGCCGGTCAACAAGGTTAAGAAGAAAACCCAGATATTCAAGACGTGGGTTGGGTCAAATGATGAGCAGGACAAAAGGATGTATGCAAGAGCCAGAAACCAATCAAAGATAGAATGTAGAAGGGCTGAAAAAGAGTTCCAGAGGTTGGTTGCAAGCGAGGTCAAGTCAAACCCAAAGGTGTTTTACCACTATGCAAAGTCAAAATTCAAAATACGAGTAGGAGTATCAGACCTGAGGCTTGAAGATGGTAGTTGCGTAGATTCTGACCCGGATAAAGCCGAGGCATTAAACATCTTCTTTTCCTCGGTGTTCTCAAGAGAGGATGCGATTAACCTTCCTGCGTTTGAGGACAGAACGGTTCGACACAGCACTGACCCACATTGTGTCCATAGAAGAGGGTATTAAAAATAAATTGTGAAAGCTAAAGGTCCATAAGAGTCCTGGCCCTGACATGGTGCATCCTAGAGTGCTAAGAGAGTTGTGCAACAAGCTTGCCGAGCCCCTGAAGATACTGTTTTGTAAATGCCTGGATGAACAAAAGGTCCCCAGTGAATGGAAAGTGGCTTATGTGAGTCCTATCTTCAAGAAGGGCGATCGTCACTCCACGAATAACTATAGACCGGTGAGCCAGACCAGCATAGTATGTAAAGTACTTGAGAGTATTATCAGAGATGTCGTGATGGAACATCTACTATGAAACAACCTTGTAAAGGATTGCCAACACGGTTTTATGCCAGGGCGCTCCTGCTTAACACAATTGCTCAAAGTATTGGATATTTGGACCCATATTCTGGAACAGGGTGGTAATATCGACAATATTTACCTGGATTTTGCCAAGGCTTTCGACAGTGTACCCCATGAAAGGCTGAAAATCAAACTGGAAGGGTACGGAATTCGGGGAAATGTTCTAGCGTGGATAGAAGACTTTCTACATGACTGCAAGCAGTGTGTGGTGATTAATGGCACGAAATCGTCATCCGTACCTGTCACAAGTGGGGTACCACAGGGCAGGGTATTGGGCCCGCTGTTGTTTGTTTGTTTCATAAATGACATGCCTGACATTGTACACTCCTCCATAAATGTTTGCCGATGACGCCAGGATATTTCAGGAAATCAAGAACCAAGCGGACTGTGAAGAGCTGCAGAAGGATCTCTGTGGGCTCCAAGAATGGTCGAAGAAATGGCTGCTGAGATTCAATCTCACGAAGTGTAAGAGGATGCACCTGGGGCATACCAACAGTAAGGAGGCGTATCATATGTCCCAACAGGATGAAGAAACTGCATTATTTGAGACTAAATGTGAGAAGGACCTAGGTGTGTATGTTGACAATGAGCTGAAGTTCTCAGGCCATTGTGAGAAGAAGGTAAATCAGGTAAATAAATTATTGGGTCTTATAAGAAGGTCGTTCAGATATCTAGACGGTCCGTCCCTCGTAGCAATCTTCAAAGGTGAAGTGCTTCCCTATCAGGAGTACTGTCACCCCTTCTGGTTCCCGAGAAATGCTAGGGACAGTCAGTTGGTTGAAAATGTTCAAAGGAGGGCCACCAGACTGGTGCCTGCACTTCGGCACCTCAGCTACCCTGAGAGATTGGAGTGCCTAAACTTGCCTAGCTTATACTACAGGCGGGCAAGGGGGTGACCTAATTGAGGTGTATAAGCAACTCAAGGGGCACTA